TCTGTCAAAAAAAAAAAAACAAATAAAAATAAATAAATCTTAGAAAAAATAAAAATAGAATGGCATTAAGACATACAGGGTGTTCTCACTTCATGTGCTTCAGAATTTAGGCCTTTTTGTTTGAGTTTAAGGAAAGCCTGGGTGTAAATTCAGAATTTGGGTTGAGAAAAGTATGGCTTTTCCTTCCATTCTGAGTTACATGTTACAGTTTCAGCTATTATTTGTTTTCTTCTCTTTACAGGCAGAGTGGACAATGAAAGAGAGAGACAGAGAGAAAGGTCTTCCTTTGCCGTTGGTTCACCCTCCAATGGCTGCCTCGGCCAGCGCGCTGTGGCCGGCGCACCAATGGCAGGAGCCAGGTACTTATCCTGGTCTCCCATGGGGTGCAGGGCCCAAGGACTTGGGCCATCCTCCACTGCACTCCCTGGCCACAGCAGAGAGCTGGCCAGGAAGAGGGGCAACCAGGACAGAATCCAGCGCCCCGACCAGGATTAGAACCCGGTGTGCCGATGCCACAAGGCAGAGGATTAGCCTAGTGAGCCGCGGCGCCGGCCACAGTTCAGTTTTATAAGCAATCTCTGTGGTTTATCTTATATTGACCAGCCAATCATACAGTAGCATTTTGTATCTTCTTTGGTATTTTACACGTGCATATAGCTTTGTAATAAACCTCTAGGGATGAGCTGGGACAAAAATAGTATTTAAATGTCCCTAACTAATGTGGACATACCACCATTTAATATCACCACAAATGCTACTCCAAATGCAAAAGACCATGGTTTTCCACCCCAAAATTAATTTTTCGGTTCTTACCACTCTGCTAGGTGGAAGATTAGATTCATGTACACAGTGCAGTTCATGTTGAGTGCCTCACTTATGTGTTTCCATAGATCCTCTATTTTCCCCTGTTTTACAACTTCTCACATTGGATTTGTTGTTGACAGTAACACCTGGTATTCTGTAAACTCCAAAAGAGCAATACTTTGTTTAAGTTATTTTGTATTCCCATTAGCTACTACATTTCCTAGAATAAATGATGCAGTCAAATAAATGAATAAACAAATGCCTTGCACTGTGAGAAAACAAAAAATGTTATCTAATTTCAGTTTTTTTTTTTTTTGGTTGCTATAACAAAACACTAGTTGACTTAAACAACAATGTATGTCTAAAAGTTCTGGAGGCTAAGAAGCCTAAGATCAAGGTGCTATCTGATTCAGTTCCTGATTAGGGCCTTTTTCCTGGCTTGCAGATTATCATCATCTTGCTATGACCTCCCATGATAGAAAGGGAGAGGTGGTGGTGGTGGAGTGTGAGAGGTGGAGGTAGTGAGAAGATGAGAGAAAGAGAGAGAAAGAGAGAGAAATGTATTCTCTGATCCCTTTTCATAATGGTACTAACTCCATCGTGAGGACCCCAGCCTATGACGACCTTAAAACTAATTACCTCTCAAAGAACCCACCACCACATATCATCACATTTGGGCTCCAACATACAAATATGGGGATTGGGAGGGACACAATTCAGTCCATAATTGCCAGATACATGAAGGATATCATGGTACTTGAAGTGACTTTAGGATAACATTTATTTTTAAAAGCACTGTAATTATGAGGAGAATAGACCTTGATTGGTAAGAAGACTGGTAAAATAATACTCCATAGCTCAATCATAAAAATAATCACTATTTTGCAGTCTATAAATTTGGGTAGAAATGGAAATACATAACTCCCTAAAAGGTATTTTTTGTCAGAATTTTTTCAGTTTATTTTCCACTTGCAATCAATTTATACATTATGTTTCATTATTTGCTTTTTATTTACTTTTTTAGAGTTCGGTAAGTTGGCATAACTGTTGACTATAAGGGGTTATTAATTAACTTGATTTTTAGTCCTAAATATATTATTAAAAATAAATCATTTTATTTTACAGGGGCTTACAAATGCTTGAGACAACACAATGATAAAATGAGGTAAATTTAAGCATTAACTTTACTTTTCAATACTATTTTTGTATAAGTGACAATAAGATATTCTGCAAATTCAGGGCGAATTATTTCTTACAAACTTTAGCTATTTGAGTCAAGCAATAGAGAAATAGCACCTTACTGAGATAGCTTGTGTATCAGCTCAGGGGCACCTCTACAGTATTAACTGCTCATTTTCACAATAGTGAGACAATTCCAAGTCATTACTGAAAGTGAGCTGTAACCCTTTATTTGACCCAAATATATCTTCATTTGTCTAAATGGATAATTGGGTGATTCAGTTCATTTGCTCTTCTGTTGAGCTGACAGTTACCATATATACTTCGTATGGATTACCCCTTTTCAACAAAGTGATATTTAACTGTAAGCCAACAGTGAACACAATTTATATTCTTCAAGGCACCTCATGATCTAGTTATAAGACCTCAGGAACATCATAGTAAATTTCGAACATCATAATGATATGTAAGTGATGTGTAAGGAATTGATTTAACCTACTCTCTTGCAACTTTATAAAAAGATAGTCAAATTGTTTCTTTATTATTTGGTCATATTCTCCAAAATATGGTACATAAAATAATTTATAAACACTTTAAATATGACAATACTCATGGTTCATTTATTTTGTCCATGAACTCAGTTTCCCCATATAAATTAACATTATATAAGATTTGTTTTATTCATTTTAATGGCAGAGTGACAGAGAAACAAGTAGAGACAGATATAAAGCAATTTTCCATCTATTAGCTCACTCCCCAAATCGCTGCAACAGCCAGATCTAGGTCGAGCCAAAGCCAGGAGCCAGAAACTCCATTTAGTTTTCCCACATGGATGGCAGGAGTCCAAGTACTTGGGCCATCATATGCTGCTTTCCCAGGTGCATTAGCAGGGTTCTGGTTCAGAAACAGAGCAGCCAGAACTCAAACCAGTGCTCTGATATGAGATGCCAACATCATAGATGGCAGCTTAAGCTGCTGTGCCACCAAGTTTGCCCCAAATTGACATTATTTAAATCCTTCCAATCATTAAGGAAGATCTTGCAAGATTTTAGGAAGTATCCTCTGCTTTCCACCAGTTTCAAAGAACTACAGTCAAAGCATGGAAACTAGAAAATTCTATATTAAATACACTGAAGATGTCATAAACCTGATCACTTATTTCAAAATCTAGTATGTGTAAGGTTGCTCACATAACTACGCAGTTTTATTTAAAGAGACATCACATAGAAAAGTAGAAAATCATTGGTGAACTGACTCTACTGAAATCCCCTATACAGCACCTTGAATGCAGATGCTAGATACCATCATTTCATGGTCTTGTTTCAGAATCCCTGAGAGCCAGCATTGTGTCATGGCAGGTAAAGCTGCCACCTGCACCTCTGGCATCCCTTATGGGAGCTTGTTCAAAGCCCAGTGTTATACTTCAGATCCAGCTCCATGCTAATGGCCTGTAAATAGCAGTGGAGGATGATCCAAATGTTTGGGCCCCTGCCACCCATGTGGGAGAACCTGAAGAAGCTCCTGACTCCTGACTTGGGCCTGGCATAGCCCTGGTTGTTGTGTCCATTTGGGAGATGGAGGATTTCTCTCTATCTCTCCTTCACTCTCTGTAACACTGACTTTCAAATAAATAAGTAAATTTTTAAAAAACACAAGACAACCCCCAAAGTAATTGGATGTGTTGACTTAGAACCCCCCAAATGTGAGTCCATTATTTATTTGCAAAGCTTATAGTAAGGAGATGAACAGCTTTCACTTAATCTTCGGGCTCCCTGAGAAGTTATTGGTGGAGATACTCATAGACTGAAGTTGCGGCTGAGAAGTGCATGATCAACTCATGTCTGAGTTCCTAACTAGCCAGACATGCTCATGGCCTTTCTAAATTGTTCAGTGTTCTTTATGATTGAAAAGTGGGCTTTATTCAGTCTGGAGACTACATGCAAGAAGTAGTTGTTTCCCATCCTGGCCTGGAATTTCCCTGAAGGTGGAATCTGTGTGTTGATACTGATCATTTAGATATTGTTTACTGGGAAACTTTCCTGAATCAACTGCACCACTCCTTCTATGCAGTGAATTCCTTTAGCTATCCAAGAGGAAGGGCAAAGCAAACTTGAGCTAAGGGTGGAAAGCTGGGTACCAGTGATATGTTGCTTATGTTTATGGACACTTGAATAGGGATTCCATTTCAATCTCACTGTTTCTTATCATCCTTCAATCCTGAGGGAGTAGTAGAAACAACTACTCTGGTTTCATCATGCTCTTAAGAGGCAGAGTGGGGGTACTTCAGGATTATAGGAGACCTTCTGCATCATAATAATAGATCTTGGACCAGCTAGTCTATGCCTAGCTCTATACTGCAGATGCATCACCATTCCATAGCAAGAAAGACCCCAAAATACTAGCATTCCTATACTTATGAAAGCAAGGAAGATTTTCTGCCTTAAAATTCCAGTCCCAAACCAGGAATAGAGCCACTAATTTAAGGCTTAGTGTGTGATTTGACATTGCACTCTTCTGGTTGTGGATATCTTGGAGAGCTAAGGAGATATTTCCAGAATTATCAAGGATGTATACACAACATTCTGTTTTTTAAAATTTATTTTATTTATTTGAAAGAGTTAGAAAGAAAGAGAGAGAGAGAGAGAGAGAGAGAGAGAGAGAGAGAGGTCTCTTATCCACTGGTTTTCTCCCGAAATGGCCACACTGAGCCGATCTGAAGCCATGAGCCAGGAGCCTCCTCCGGGTCTCCCACATGAGTGCAGGGGCCCAAACACTGCTGATTTCCCAGCTGCATTGGCAAGGAGCTGGATCAGAAGTGGAACATCTGGGACTCGAATTGGCACCCATATGGGATGCTCACACTGCAGGCCAGAGCTTTAACCCACTGCACCATAGTGCCAGCCACACAACATTCTGTTTTAATGAGGACACAGGGTCCCCCTTGGGCAGCTTAAAGAACTTCCAAAGATAACTGGTTTTGGAGAACTGTTTTTCTTTTTTTTTTTTTTTTTTTTTTTTTGACAGGCAGAGTGGACAGTGAGAGAGAGAGACAGAGAGAGAAAGGTCTTCCTTTGCCGTTGGTTCACCCTCCAATGGCCGCCGCTGCAGCCGGCTCACCGCGCTGATCCTGGCAGGAGCCAGGATCCAGGTGCTTTTCCTGGTCTCCCATGGGGTGCAGGGCCCAAGCACCTGGGCCATCCTCCACTGCACTCCCTGGCCATAGCAGAGAGCTGGCCTGGAAGAGGGGCAACCGGGACAGAATCCGGCGCCCCCACCGGGACTAGAACCCGGTGTGCCGGCGCCGCAAGGTGGAGGATTAGCCTATTGAGCCACGGCGCCGGCTTGAACTGTTTTTCTTAATAAGAGGACTCAGCAGGGCAAAGTGGTCTTCAGTCAGTCTTGGGGCTATATTCAAATGGTAGTTACTTTATTTTCCTGGCCTGGAGTTTCTGGAAAAAAAAAAAAAACATGATCAAATATCAGTATGTTATCTACTGGAGAAACAAATGACCTCACAAGTCAGTGATTAGAGCCTTGTGGGGCCAGCTGCACTATTCTCCCAATCCAGTAAGTTAATTTTAGTAAGGGGTGGTTTTTACAGTGAAAAGTCAGGGCAAGGGCACTTTAAGCTAATGGAGGGAAGCTGTGAGACTGTGGCAGACTTGGACCTGATAGCATCTAGCGTCTGAATACAAAGCTTTGTGTAGGGGCTCAGTTTCAATAATTATAACAGACTTCTATACAGGACCCTGAAAGCAGAAGAGAGTGGAGTGAAATAAAGTGTTGAAAGAAGAAAACCAAAAACATAAAATTATATATTCAATGAGATTATCTTGCAAAAGTGAATGAGCACCACTGAACATCTACTAAGATTTTGTCAAAATATTGATAACACTAAATATTGGTCAGGATGTGAAGCAACATGAATTATCATGCATTGCTGATATGAATGCAAAATAGTGTGGCTATTTTGAAAGACAATTTGGCGTTTTTTTTTTTTTTGCAAAACTAAACATTCTCTTCACATATGATCTATCAGTTACACTTGGAATACACTAAAATGAATCAAAATTTTTTGTCCAAGTATCTGCACATGGATGTTTATAGTGTCTTATTCATGATAATAAATAAATCATTGTTCATAATAATGATTCCAACAATATGACTTATAAAATTATGCAAAGCATATTCTCATAAGAAAATTAAACAGAAAAAAGATCAGTGCTTGCCAAGGGTTAGCAGGGAGGGAATGATGGAACACAGAAGATTTTTAGAACAGTGACACTCTTCTGAATGATATATAATAGTGGATACATGTCAGTATGCATTTGCCCAAACTGATAAAATGTACCAAGTGTGAGGCCTAATGTAATCTCCTAACTTTGGATGATAATGTTTTGTAAGAATAAGTTGATCAAGGGGCTAGTGTTGTGGCATAGTGGGTTAAGCTACCACCTGTGATGTCGGCATCCCATATGGGGGCTGGTTCGTGTCCTGGCTTCTCCACTTTTGATCTAGCTGTCTGATAATAGTCTGGAAAAAACAATCGAGGAATGCCCAAGTGCTTGGGCCCCTGCCTCCACATGGGAGACCCTGATGAAGCTCCTGGCTTCCGTCTGACCCAGCCCTGGCCGTTGCAGCTATCTGGGGAGTAAACCAATGTGTGAAAGATCTCTCTTTAACTCTCTCTCCCGTTCTGCAACTCTGAATTTCAAATAAAGAATAAATCTTTCAAAACATAGGTTCATCAATTGTAACAACTGTATAACTCTGGTGCAGACTGCTGATAATGACAAAGCATGTGTATGAGGCAGAGGTAAATGAGAACTTTCTGTAATTTCTGTTCAATTGTACTGTGAACCTAAAACTGTTCCCCCAAATGAAGACTACTTTAAAAATAGTAAATATGTATTGTAACATGTAGAGTAGCCACTAAAATACTTTTAGTATAATTAATGGTAAAATAGAATCATAAAATTATTCAAAACCAAAGAAAGTTGAAAAAGAGGGGGAAAAGAAAATACATGTGTAATGAATAGAAAACAAAGACATGGTAGATATTAACCAGCTACATTAATGATAACATTAAATTTGGGTGATTTGAAACACTAAACAAAAATTATCAGACCAGATAAATAAAACTGACCTCAGTGTCTACTAGAAACCCATTTTAAATATGAGCATTAACACTCAGAATGAAAGTAAAAGGATGGAAAAAAATAGAGAATAACACTGGAGAAAAGAAAGCTGAAGTTCCCATGTTAATTTCAGTTAAATCAGACTTCTGAACAAAGAAAATAATCAGGGTTAAAAAGGGACATTATGCAAGTATAAAGGAGTAGTTACTCTAAGAATATAATTCTCTTTAATGCATATATTCCTAATAACAGAGCATCAAAATACATGAGGAAAAATGATACAATTTCAATAATAAATAGACAAAGTCCCTATTGGAAACTTCAATACATTTCTCTCAGCATTGATATATCAAGCTGGCAGAAAATCAGTAAGGATATAGTTGACCTGAACAGGATGATCAATCAGTTTTATCTAATTGATATTCATAGGTTACTCCATCGAACACCAGCAGAATACACATTATTCTTAAGTTTGATGGATCATTCAACAAATTCATCACAATCCGGGCCGTAAAACATACCTCAGCAAATTAAAAGGAACAGCAAACATAAAATTATATTTTTAATAGAATTGGAGTGAAATCAATAACAGAAAAATATGGATAATCCCCAAATATATGAACATTAAGCAATATATTTAAATAACAATGAGCCAAAGAAAAGTATCAGTAGAAAATGATAGTTGGTTTTTGAAAATGATTGATTGATTGATTGATTTAATAGGCAGAGGCAAAGACAGGGAGAGATAGAGAGAGATCTTCCATCTTTTAATTCAGTCACCAATTGTCCAAAACATCCAGAGATGGGCCAGGCTAATGCTGGGAGCTGAGCACTCAATATAAGTCTCCCACATGGACTCAAGTACTTAAGCCACCATCAGCTACCTAACAGAGTGCACATTAGCAAGAAGCTGGAATCCAGCATGGAGCTGGGACTCAAACCCAGACACTCTGATATGGATGCAGGTATCCCAAATGGCACCTTCACTGCTGTGCCAAATGCCCAGTCCAATTAACAAAATTTTGAAGTAAAGGAAATGGAAATACAATCAATCAGACTTTGGAATGTTAGCAAAAGCAGAAGTTAGAGAGAAATGTATAACACTAAATCCATGTATTAGAAAAAAAGTCAATAATCTGAGTTTCTACTTGGAAAATATAAAACAGCAATTTAAGTCTAAAGCAAACAAGAAAAATAACAAAAATTTGAGCAGAGATGAATGAAAGTGAAAATAGACAATCAATAAAAAAATAAGCAAAACCGAAAGCTAGTTCATTGATAAGTTTTATAAAACTGATAAACTTCCACCCAGGTTACCCAAGAAAAAGAAAAAAAGGCACATATTTTTAGTATTAGAACTGAAAGAGATATCATTACTGATCCCAAAGACATTAAAAGACTGATGGTAGAATACTATAGATCATTCTTTTCACAGATTGAATAACGTAGATGAAATGGGCCAATTGCTTAAGAGTTTCTAGCCTCCAAAATTGTGAGAAATAAATTTCTATTCTTTATACATTCTCCAGTGTCAGGTATTCTGTTATAGTCACACAAAAAATACTAACAGAAACCTAGTTTTAGAATCACCCTTAAGAGGTTAATCATTATGACTAAAATCATTAGTTCTGAAATTTTATTGTGCATAGATATTATCTGGAGTTTTCATTAAAAGTGCTGGTGTAACTGTTTGGGATTGGGCCAGGAATCAGTAACTGTAACGGATGCAACAGGTGATTTTGATAAAAGGATACATCTTAGGCTGAAGCTCCCAAAAGTAGACCCTTAGAAAAGCATTCATTATTAAGACACTCCTTGGGGGAAATACGAGGGGACTTAAAAAAGTTTTGGGAAAATGGATTTAAAAGATTAGTTTATTTTAATGCCAAAAAATTGAAATTCAGGGGCCAGTGCTGTGGCACAGCAGGTTAAACCACTGCCAGCAGCACCAGTTCAAGTCCTGGCTGCTCCATTTCTGATCCAGCTCCCTGCTAATGGCCTGGGAAAGCAGCGGAAGATAGTCCAGGTCCTTGAGCCCCTTCAGTCATGTGGGAGACCTGGAAGAAGCTCCTGGCTCCTGCTTTGGCCTGGTCCAGCTGTGGCTGATGTGGCCATTTGGGGTAGTGAACTAGCAGTTGGAAAATCTCTCTGTGTAACTCTGCCATTCAAATAAAATAAATCTGTTTAAAAATTGAAATTAATGGACAGTTTTTTCATAGTGTACATTTTCCATGAACTTTTTGAAACACTTTGTAGTAAAAGGAGGAGAAAACAGTAGAGAAAAAAAGAAGCCAAGTAAGAGTGGCATTTCAGCCAAGTCCCAGTCTCCCTCTTAACCATGGAAGGTCTGTAATGTAAATTGCAACTTCAGAGTCTGTCCTGGCTAGAGTCCAGAGAGTTAGCTAGTTTCCATACACAGCCTCCATTGTGTTACAGGCTGAGATATTAACTCCCAGGGTCTTCTGACTCTGCATGTACTGAAATATTTAGGAGTCAATGGCTTCAATTAACCTACTCAGTCTCTGAAAGTTTTACCTGCAGTTCCTTATAAAGAAACCTGTATACAAGCTGAGAGGAGAGAAATACAAGATGAATTGGATGGAGCACCAATTTTGTCTCCTACAGAGACTGTGGGAACTTAGTTATGTTGCAATTGTGTGTGTGTGTGTGTGTGTGTGTGTTTTAAGATTTATTCACTTATTTGAAAGGCAGAGATACAGAAAGCAGAGGCGTGGGGAGGGGGGGAGTCAGTCTTCTATCTGTTGGTTCACTCCCCAGATGGCCACAATGGCTGGAGCTGCACTGATCTGAAGCCAGGAGCCAGGAGTCTCCTCTAGGTCTCCCATCTGTGTTCAGGGGCCCAAGGACTTTAGCCATCTTCTACTGCTTTCCCAGATCATAGCAGAGAGTTTGGAAGTGGAGAAGCCAGGACTTGAACCAGTGCCCATGTAGGATGCTGGCACTGCAGGCAGCAGCTTTACCCACTATGCCACAGTGCCAGTCCCACCTTTATTTTTATAATCTGTGACATCATCAAATTTAATTTTATACAGATTTTGTCTTACTATATTTAAAATTATCAGTACTACTTGCTAGAGTAATAAGAAACGATGAATTTCCTAATCTATGCTTGATAAAGAAGCTAAATATCATTTGAAAATCTAAAGAAACTCAGAAATGTTTGAGAAACTGTGGAATATAAGATGGAATAAATTAAGCTAAGAAAGCAGACTCTTCGAATATAACTTGCTCCTCATAAGATGTGGTTAGGAAACTTAGTATTCTGTGTGAACTTGACGCCTAATGCACAT